GTGGTTGTGAAAACGTATCTTCCTATACCTTTTTAGTTTGCCTTATCCTTGCATGGAAAACTTCTATGATTTTTTTATTACTTAAATTGTCCAGTCTAAATAAAGGATTGTAAGATAAACCATTAGACTCTTGAAGAACTAGGATTTCTTGGTTTTACATCTCCTATAAAGAAGTAGCTTCTTCAGTCCTGCCAATCTATATGGCATGTATTTATTTTAGATTTTTATTTGGCTATCACCATTAACGTTGTTCTTTCCACTGTCACATTCAATCTGCATGACATCAGCATGTCACCAGTAGAAGAGATGTCACTTTATTACGGTCTTTTTTTTTTTTCATTGTTATTAGTGATCTGGTCTTTCTTGATGTGCTACAATTTACTTGCAGCAATACAGGCGCTCTGATGGGGACAGGGTGATATAACCTAGAGTGACAGCCAACAGAGTGGCAATAATCTACTAAAATATTTGAAACTGAAAAGAAAAATCTATCTCGCTCAGCTAAGCAGCCTGAAGGATCAAAGGATGCCAAACAGTCTTCCACCTGAAAAACACAAGTTGTTGTACAGCAAAATGGTACTTGGACTTGTTAATGGCTACTTGGATCGTTAGCAGCAATCATGCTGTAAAGATATTTAGGAGGTCAGTATAATAATGCTCTAATTTGTCCTAACACTGTTTCAACAATTTGTTTAAAACTGGTTAAAAACTATATATATGTATTTAAACACTGGACCCAGGTCTTACAATTTTACTTCAATTTGGGTATAAGATGGAGCTTCTTTTATAGTGCCTGACATTGTGTCACTTTCTAATAACATGGCTGCTGGTAGTAAGAGGCTCAAAATGCCATTTGTAGTTAAAATCTCTATTTTTGGATACGTTGTCTAGTTTATTCATGCAGAGAAGTTATTTCACCTTTTGACCTTTCTGCTGGACTGAACAAGATGAGTGAAGGCGTATTTTAACAGTCCTTATATTTGAGTGAATTGTAACTGCAGCTGAAATTGCCAGTCTCCTGTACTATTCACATTAATTTATCTGTGATACACTTGGCCAAACCATTCCATTTTAGATATTTACTTATTTTTGTTTAGATTTATAGTGAAGTTAAAAAATTAATGAAGTAGAAAATCAAAGCGTTCTAGAGCATTTTAATCAGATGTAAAGTACCACAACAGCAATGCTTCATGCAGGCCCAGGTTTTAAAATGATAAGATTTTTACTTAACAAACTAATTTCGTTCATCTGCTTAATTACTTCTTACGGCAAGGAATAACTTAGCTGAAAGCTTAAGCGTAAGCCCATGCTTAAATGCATTGCTGAGGTAGGGCACAATTCCCAACATTTTCTCCTTGGGATAACAAGAAATCCTATGGAAGTTTAAAGACCTAATAATGAAAAGAGCTCAGGGCCCTTTCAGAGATGCTACATGTCTTCACTCCTCCTTGATCTCTTCTGGAGCTGAAAGTATCTAAAAGCCTACCGGACCGAGTCCTACCTGCTTAAGTCTGACCTCATCCAAAAAGGATTTGTTTTCACTGGTACTTTTGAAAGCCTGGAGTATCTGTCAGAGCACTTGCTGGAAGCGGGCATGGGTTAGTAAAAACAGTATCTCTGGGGGCTGGAAAAACTGAGTAGGTTATAAGGAGTTATCACAGAAGTTGCAATTAAGTTAACCATGACATTGATAGACACAAGAAGAGTAGCACATCACTCAGAAATTATTAAAAAGACAGGCAAATGAGCAAGGGATCTGAAAAAAGCTTAAAAAGCCTAGTCATAAATACAGCTAACCAAAGAGAATACCAAAGGAATTAATGGTCAAATTCAGAGATTACTCTGAAGAACAGCAGGTGCTGAGAGGAGAGAACAGCCACACATGAGTAACTGTAGACCTACAAAATGTCAATTTAGAAAATGGCAGAGGAACAGGTCACTCTGTGGTGCCGAGTAGAACAAAGGAACTCGAAGGGTAAGCACTGGGCAGGATATTGCTGCTGCAGCTTTCACAGACTCAATCACGTACAAGGGCAGTGCTGACAAAGCAGTACAAGGTGAATTTGCTAATTCATGGCAATCTGCAAATAAAACTGATTCATGAGCGTCTACGAGAGTAACGTAACTATTTCAGATACACAGGTAACATGGTACTAACTGATGTGCTCTCCCTTTGCCCCTGCTAGGTTTATGTGATCTTTATGAGTAACCACAGACTCAATCACGTACAAGGGCAGTGCTGACAAAGCAGTACAAGGTGAATTTGCTAATTCATGGCAATCTGCAAATAAAACTGATTCATGAGCGTCTACGAGAGTAACGTAACTATTTCAGATACACAGGTAACATGGTACTAACTGATGTGCTCTCCCTTTGCCCCTGCAAGGTTTATGTGATCTTTATGAGTAACGTGAATGTCTAGGTTAATGAAGCTATTACCCGCATTATGGCTGACTATGTGAAAAAATGTGAACACAGAGCTGATAAAATATCAAGTCACACGAACTTTTCATATAATTGTATTTTTTTTCACAGAAATCATGTAAGTAAAAAAATGCGGCTGACATTTTAGGCTATTCGTGTGTCTACTCATGTTTTATTACTTTAAAAAATTATTCTTCTACTTTCAAATAATACCATTTGTGCATGATGCTTCATTTATCAGGGCTATTACACAAAGAATCAAAATGAGAATTTATCTATTACATACATATTCTGTATATAATTCTGTATATAGATATTCTGTACATACATAAAGCCACACACATAGATGGAGCGTGCAAATTCACAGTGTGATACAGAGATTATGGGCAACCCACTGATTCATCATGAGGCTGCGAGTCCGGGACGACACCAGGACAAAGAACCTAAGGACCGCACGTTCCGCCGGCACAGAACACCGGCCTCTCCTTGCTGGCCATCTGTAGAGCTCAAGAGGCCGAACGCGCGCTGATGAGCCGGGCCGCAGGCAGGGCGGGCAGGCCGCGCGCGCCTGAAGGGCTCTTTTCTGGCAGCTTCCTTCCCCGCCGGCTGACCCTCCGGCGGCTGGCTGCCAGGGCGTCGGGCCACCCCGACGGGAGCTCACCTCAGGGCCCACCTCCCCCGCCTAACATGCCCACGGTGCCGCCGCCAGCATGG